TGTATAAACGTCTTGGATATCCATTAGAAATTAAGGTCTTGCTAAGGAATTCTTCTTCGGCTTGTAACATTTTGGGGCTGCAAATACGTCTGGCCCAGTATAATAGATTTCTCCCTAAGCCGCGTATTTATGCGAGCGGGGAGAAGATTGAAAAATGAAGGTACTGTCCAGTCCAGTGCGCTGCAACGTACCTTCAGCCCGTCTAAAAATGAGTATATCAGAAAACGCCAGGCGATTGTGTAGTTACACTTCATGGGATACGGACAGACTAGGGTGAATCGCATTTAGGATGGTCAGTAGCTAGTTAAAATTTTATCCCCTGGTAAATACCACAATGTTATCAACATATCGTCTGTACAAATTCAGTTCACCAATGCTGGTGGCAACTTGCCTTCATATCAGGCTGAGGATGATGTCGGCTAGAACTGGTCCCAGCGGGCTGCCAAAAGCGACTCCGTCGATCTGTTTGTATGCGGTCCCCTCACATTCAAACGGTATGTTCTCGGTGCAAAATAGAACTATATCTTAAATACGCCACTGACAGGCCAACAGACATAATGTGACTCATGATAATTTCATTGGTGTTTGATTGCTTGGATTTGCTTTTTTTCCAGGTATATAATCCCTTGTGTTTTTCTGCTCGTATTGCGTTGTCGACTGAAGAAAACAATCGAAAGGTTGACATGTCGCAACCTCTGTCTTTCCTCTGCCTTAAGGTCCTAAAGTTTGCCAAATGCATCGATCAGATAAGCACGAACCGATTGCACCGGTTGCGCAGGTGCGCCATATTGCTGCCACTAAAAGTTATGCAACTGCCCTTTCGAACGTAGCTGTGGAATAACGCTGCTCGTAAACATTTCTTCGTACGAGGATGCTAAAGAAATGTCAGACATTGGTACGATTAAACGACAAAATACTGGACACACTCCTTGAAATGAAATAGGTATAGGTAGAAATTCATCACATCCAGACTCACTCAGCCAGCCAACACCCACCCGGAAAAGCACTTTTCAGTAACAGTCGGCAAACGCATTCTGTCAGACCATGGTAGGGCTCGGATCCCCAGCTCGACTGTTACTCATCCGTGGTTGCGACCACTGTGCTACAAAGGACAACAAAGACCATCGTGCATAAGTTGCCAGATGTGATACAGCGCCGCTCACTATCCGCTGACTTGCACATTACTACAGTGCAGAGGAAAGGATAGCGCCTCACCAAGCGGCGAACTTACCAAACTTAAGCCGCCAAGTAACGTATGGCATTGTAAGCAGTTTGGTCTGTTTACTGCTTACAGATGAGTAGAAGGGAGAGTTGAATGGTAAAGGTGAAGGCTACTCTGTCCGCTCCACGGTAGTAACGTGCAAGTCAGTAGAAATTGCTTGGCGCTATAGCACATGTAGTAACATATTTACCTTGGTCGTTGCCGTCCTTCGTTGCCCCTAGGTCCCAAGCAAAGCCTGGTACCAGTCGAGCTGCAGGTTCGAGACCTACCATCGTCTGATGCACTTTGCACTTCTGACGATACCCGAATGTATGAAAAGCGCGTGCAGTGCTTTTCGGGGCGTGTGATGGCTGTCTGAGTGAGTCTCGATGTGATGAATTTCTACCTATACAATTCAACTCCCCTAATACTCCTAGTTAAAAGGAAAGAGGGTCCGATAATTTTTCGACCAGTTAACCCAGCTCAGACCATGAGCTTCGCGCTTTGGTGCACACGTGAAGCGCTACATTGCCGTGGGTTTGTCATTACGCAAGTACGTTGCGTATCTTCGCCCAGAAGAGGGAACACCGCCTCATGGATCAACAAAACGGTATGCAGGTCCAAATGGGTTAAAAACGAATGGGTCAATTTCAAACGCTTCTGTGAATTGCATGCTTCCAACACTTGCACATCCAGTGCACTGTACCGCGGAAAACTTCCCCTTCAATATCCCATGCACGGCATACGATGTGGTGTCGCCATTTTGTGCGAGTTTCCGGAGCTTGAGATGGCTTTTACTGCGTAACCCTTGCACAACCGCGCAACCTGCTACTTCATCAATGACTGTGCAAGGCAATCCGCCTTGGCTTATGTTGCAAAAATCCAGCTCGATGCTATTTACCGAAATTTTAAACAATGCTTGTAAATATGAGTGAAGGAAGGAATACATGTATCTTCACCGTTGTACAGGCGCAACAAAACTAAAGGCCTAATCAATTTGTACAATTAGCAATAGCCTGACTGTGAGGGCAATAGTTGCATTAATGAATAAATTGGTGTGTTGTCTAATGGTGCCACCAGTGCTCCGGGGCAGACTGGAATCTAAGCGCATTGGCATGTTAAGCCAAGAAATTGTTTTTTTGCATCCATGGAGTGAATTTTCAGCTGTAACACACACGCCATCGAAACGGTGAAGCGAACGACACTGTAACCTTACAATGTGTTCCCGGCAGTATGACTCCCTTTAGCAGCGAAAGCAGACTGCTAAAAGTTTACGGGTTTGTTGGAAGCCAGTCATGAGGCGATAACAGCTTTTGTGGCGATAGTAATACGGCGCAAATCGGTCGATCACCACATACGACCAGGCTATTTTTCTCAGTTGCTTGCACAGGGACACAATACGCAGGAAACCATTTTGCTAGCTTTACACTTGCTTGCAAGCCGACCACCAGTCGATAAAAGCTTGACACTTTCAGTGCGACTATGTGGTGTCCGGCTCCCGTCCAATTCTCACAGTTGAAATGCGTGCGTTTCCTAGGTCTTGTCATGTGGGAGAGGCATGACGCATTTATTATGGCTGTGGTGTCTGGCTAACGTTTACTTCTCACAACCGAACGACTCGGTGTGCTCTGCGATCGTAGACACACATGTGTCCCATCTCACCTTTGCCGGCAAAGCAATTTTCGCTATTAGGCACTTAGCATTTCCGCTTACCGGTTGTACGTAAGCATCTGAGTCCAGCCGCGCTAAGCTCCGAAGCATCGTTGCTGACGCGCGGTGGAGTTCGCCATTTAGTCTTCGCAATTATTTTTAAGCCGCCACCTGGGTTTATTGGAGACTGCCCAGCTACGGGCAAGTACTGGTTTGTGGCCTATTTAATTCTATCGGCGACGGAATACAAGGGACTCCACAGCAGAGGATATAGCGCACTACGATAAAAACGTTTCCTGGCGTTCCACATTTTAAAAATCCTCAGTCACGCTGCTGCCACCTCCTAATGCTTAGCTGCAAGACAGTGTTTAGAGGTCGTATATTGAATATGTTTATCCAATACATTTCGCTTGGGTGCTTTCGGAAGTATTTCTCCATTCCAGTTTCTCCACAGTAGAACGCTGTTCCGAATTTCAGTTGGATGCTTGGGATACACGTCTATAAACTGGTGCTCAGGGAGGATTTACGTCGTACCCGAAGTAACTACTGCACTCAACGGCTAAAAGAGGACAAGGCTGCCTATCAGCATTATGTCGCAACGCATTCAATGCTAACCACAAACTGCTGTACATTCACCTCCGGTCCCTACGAAAGTTGAAGCAAGGAGTTTATATACTCAGCATGGCTGGTTGGACAAACAGGTAGACTGTGGAAGCTGCAAACGCGCTGCAGATGCAATATGCTCTACATATCTGAAGGTGTAGCAGTCTGGAGATTCCCCGGTTTGCTTGTGTAAAATTCTAACCAAAATTCTATAATTGTACACTTAGGCAACCGGTGTGGTTTGTTGAACTGATTGCTGAGTTCGAATGCTTTACTTGCTCATCGCCATTTTTGCTTGGCGCTCGCTTCGGTTGCAACGCGCGACTGCTCTGTGTGCTGTGTTTGCTCCGTTTCCCTAGCTAGAGCGTACACGGTGTCGTTCGTTTATAGCTAGCTAACAGGGAATCTTTTGCTGAACCAATAAAAGTTTCCCTGCAACTCGATCTGTCTTCTGGAATCGCTCTCTGGGCTCCCGGAATAGGCAACCCTATAAATTGGTGACCCCGGATCCGGAACAATCTCAACGCCGGATATTTCGAACTTTTCTCCGGTGAGCTCGTTCCATTTATTTTTCATATTTTCCGGTTTTATTTTTGCATACGGTAGCCTATTTTTTCGCGTCATTTTTTCAAATCATGGAATCTGTAGACCATAAGGTAGAGTCTATACTTAGTGTTGTATCTCTCTCAGTTCCACCTTTTTGGGACATGGATCCTGTTTTGTGGTTCGCTCATCTGGAGGCTGAGTTTTATAACCACAGAATCACTTCCGACTACGCGAAGTATTGCAAGCTCCTGTCCTATCTCCCCAAGGAGATATCAACGCAGGTTCGTGACGTTATCATTTCTCAGACCGATAACCGCTATGAGGCTCTGAAGGAGGCCACGATTAAGCGTGTTATGCCCTCTGAGAAAGTTCGCCTGCAGCAGCTTTTCAGGGATCTGCAGCTGGGCGACAAACTGCCCTCAACCCTGCTACGAGAGATGCAGCAACTCCTTGGTTCCTCAACCATGGACGAGACTTTACTTCGCGAACTATGGCTACAACGGCTACCGGAAAACACGCAAGCGATTCTCGCTACAGTGAGCTCCGTTCCGCTCACTCAACTAGCAGACTTAGCGGATCGAGTTATTGAACGATCACAGCCACAAGCCAACGCCAGCAAGGTCCATGCCGTCGCGTCCCAGGGCACTTCTATCACTGGCTTACAGTCAACCATAGAAGCCCTGCAAGCACAAGTTGCGACACTTAGTCGCCAGGTGCAACAGCTTACTATGACCCGTCGTCGTCCTAGCCGCTCAAAATCGCCCTGCAAACGTTCTAAGTCTAGCAACAGGCAAGCTAGCTGTTGGTACCATCAGCGTTTTGGTACCGCAGCTCGTAAATGTGTCAAGCCTTGCAACTTCGCCGAGAAGCAGGGAAAACTTCGCGGCCGGTCCGTAACGGCGACGGACGCGACCGGCCAACACCAAAGTCGCCTCATCCGCGTTAGGGATTTAACTTCCGGCACCGAGTTTCTAGTCGACACTGGTGCCGAAGTTAGTGTTATACCCCGTAGCTCAGATGAGGTCGTCTCACCATCGCCGACCAAGCTGCGTGCCGCCAATGGCACACCAATCGCAACTTTCGGCGAAAAGCTGCTAACGCTCAACTTAGGCCTCCGGCGAACCTTTCGCTGGCCTTTCATAATCGCTGCTGTGCCTTTCGCCATCATAGGCATAGACTTTCTTCAACGCTTCGACCTCATCGTCGACGCCAAAAGGAAGAAGCTTATCGACTCTAGGACACAGCTCAGTGTTATCGGGACTAGCGCCAACGTGGCTGCTATCACTCCCATTCGTGTCCTACCTCAAGCTTCACAGTCTTTTCTAGAGCTTTTCAGCAAGCACCCTAAACTCGTTCGCGTCCTGAACGACTTGCCTCCTGTGACGTCGAACGTCATGCATTACATTTGCACTAAGGGCCCACCTGTTTCGGCCCGCCCTCGCCGACTAGCCCCGGACAAGCTCAAAGCTGCGAAGGCGGAATTCGAGCAAATGCTCGAACTGGGAATCATCCGCCCGTCTAAAAGTCCATGGGCATCACCATTACACATGGTGCCGAAGAAGTCCGGTGACTGGCGCCCTTGTGGTGACTACAGGGCACTTAACAAAGTTACCGTCCCGGATAAATACCCTATCCCGCACATGCACGACTTGACCTCAGCTCTAGCTGGCAAGTCTATCTTCAGCAAAGTCGACTTAGTTCGTGCCTACCACCAGATACCTGTCGCGCCAGACGACATTGCTAAAACAGCAGTCATCACGCCATTCGGCCTATTCGAGTACCTCAGAATGCCTTTCGGCCTCAGCAACGCTGCCCAAACTTTTCAGCGTTTCATTCATGAGGTAACGCGAGGACTCGAAGGCGTTTATCCTTATCTAGATGACATTCTTATCGCCAGCTCTTCTAATGACGAACATCTTCGTCACCTCGACGCACTCTTCCAACGCTTGACGCAGCATGGGGTTACCGTCAACCCCGATAAATGCGAGCTTGGCCAAAGTTCCATCGACTTTCTTGGCCACCGCATATCTACCTCTGGTATCGAAGCCCTGCCAGACAAAATCCAGGCACTGAAGGACTATCCTGCTCCCAGTTCCTTCAAGCAGTTACGCCGATTCCTTGGCCTGGTCAACTATTACAGACGCTTTATACCTAACTGCGCGAGCATTGTTCAACCAATGACTGACTTGCTCCGCGGTAAACAACGGTCTTTTCACTTTACAGACGACGCTAAATTGTCTTTCGAGAAGCTTAAAGACGCTATCTCCAACATAGCGCTTCTCGCCCATCCAGACACGTCTGCATCACTCTCTCTGACAACTGACGCATCAGACACTGCCGTCGGTGCAGTTCTTCAACAACTCATCGACCATCGATGGATACCTCTAGGTTTCTTCTCAAAGCGCTTACAACCTGCCGAATCGCGATACAGCACCTTCGGTAGGGAACTGTTAGCTATCTACCTAGGTATCCGACATTTCCGTCACTACCTCGAAGGTCGACATTTCACCGTCTTCACCGACCACAAGCCATTGATCTACGCAATCAATGGCGCAACAGACAAGTACTCGCCGCGGGAAACTAGACACCTAGACTACGTTTCTCAGTTTACGACAGACGTACGTCATGTCTCAGGTGCTCTTAATCCCGTCGCGGATGCGCTTTCACGCATTCAGCAGATCAGCTTATCGCCTGGCACCAACATTGATCTAGCCGCTATGGCTGCTGCCCAACAAGCTGATCCCGACACAGACAAACTACGACGCAACACCTCGTTAAAACTACGTGAAGTCCCACTAGCTTCATCTGAAGGGACCATTCTTTGTGACGTTTCACAAACTTCTCCCCGACCCGTAGTTCCTACCTCAATGCGTCGACTAGTTTTCAATGCTTTACACAACCTGTCTCATCCCGGCATACGTGCTTCGCAGAAGCTCGTAACGGAACGCTTCATATGGCCCAACGTCAATCGCGATGTCCGCCTTTGGGCACGCGCATGCTTAGAGTGTCAGCGCGCCAAGGTCTACAGACACACCAAAAGCCCACTTGGCGTCTTTCCCGCTCCTGACGCTCGTTTTGCACACGTCCATGTCGATCTGGTCGGACCTTTGCCTCCATGCAAAGGCTACGTGTACCTACTCACCTGTGTCGACCGATTCACTCGTTGGCCAGAGGCGATTCCGTTAGTCAACTGCTCATCTGAGACAGTTGCACAAGCTTTCTTAGAACGCTGGGTAGCTCAGTTCGGTTGCCCAAGCGTAGTCATCACTGACAGAGGATCACACTTTGACGGATCCTTCAGCAAATTGCTCAACGTTCTTGGTTGCCAACATAACCGAACCACCGCATACCATCCCGCAGCTAATGGGATGGTAGAAAGGTTCCACCGGCAACTCAAAGCCTCACTCTGTGCCCAATCTAGCACATCCTGGCACGAAGCACTTCCGCTCGTTCTCTTAGGCATAAGAAACACGATTAAAGCGGACTTGCACGCCACTCCATCGTCGCTAGTCTTTGGATGCGCACAACGCTTACCTGGTGAACTCGTCTCACCAAAAGCGCCAACAACTTTCGACTATGGCGACTACGCAGCTCGCCTATCTCATCACATGCGACAGCTTCAGCCTGTGCAACCCAGAGCACAGAGCTTGCGTACAAACGTGGACGAACGGTTAACTACTTGCACGCACGTGTTCGTTCGCACTGACAGCGTACGCCGACCACTTCAGCCTCCTTACTCTGGTCCGTACCGTGTCGTACGTAGAAGCGACAAAACGTTTACCATTGACTACAATGGTAAGACTGAGACGGTCAACGTCGATCGACTCAAGCCAGCATACCTTGACAAGTCTGACTCGCCGGTGCAACAAGCACCTTCACAGCCCGTGCCATCACAGCCGGCACCGCAAACGCAGACGAGTCAGCCCGCTCCAGCAGAACCGACAAACACAACCGACAGCACTCCTACCCGCCCTACCCTCAATCGACGCGGTAGGAAACTCAAGCCTCCAGTTCGTTTTTCAGACTTTGTCAGCACTTACTATTTTACGTAGAACGTGCCTTAGAAATTTTCTGCTCTTACTAAACGTTTTTGAAAATCCACAAAAAAAGACCAAAACGTTTTGAAACTACCAAAAAAGAGCAAAACCTTTTGAAAACACCAAAACAGCTTTGCACGTTTTTCGCTTTGCACTCTTTTGTGTATTGCTATGCATTTATGCTGCTTTTTCATTTTGCTTTCCATATACACCGTCGGTTCGTTGCACCTCGGTTTCTCTTTCCGCTGGATCCCCGCACGTCAACTGCAAGTGGAACGAACTTCCTGTTCAACCGCCTACGTGAACTTTACTAACTGTCCCCCACAAACAGTTTTTTTACCGTTTCGACACCGTAGGGAGGACACGGGTGGGAGCCCGCTAGGGTCCGATTGCATGGTTCTCCCCCAGCAGCTGCATCGGGTTTCACAACCTGGTCTCGCAGAAGGCTGGCCCGCGACGGACAGTCCTCACGTAGATCGAAGGACTGCTTACACAGTCCCTTCTGGGAGAGGGCTATGTAGCAGTCTGGAGATTCCCCGGTTTGCTTGTGTAAAATTCTAACCAAAATTCTATAATTGTACACTTAGGCAACCGGTGTGGTTTGTTGAACTGATTGCTGAGTTCGAATGCTTTACTTGCTCATCGCCATTTTTGCTTGGCGCTCGCTTCGGTTGCAACGCGCGACTGCTCTGTGTGCTGTGTTTGCTCCGTTTCCCTAGCTAGAGCGTACACGGTGTCGTTCGTTTATAGCTAGCTAACAGGGAATCTTTTGCTGAACCAATAAAAGTTTCCCTGCAACTCGATCTGTCTTCTGGAATCGCTCTCTGGGCTCCCGGAATAGGCAACCCTCTAAAAAGGTCCTGTTACCAAAACATGTTTCAACCTACGTCGCCTCCTTGCCAGAACCAACCTACATAAATTTTACCGCGGAGACGGCATTGAAAAGACGGACGCAAACACAGTTCTCCGGGCGTCGACGCAATTCGTCCAGACGTACTATGAGCAGCAGCATATCAACTGGCAGGACTTCTAGCTCAGTTTTGTCAGCGCTGCTTGAATCAAAATCAAATTCCCGCATGTGGATGATTAGAAATATAATCCCGATTCACAAAGGTGGAAGCAAAACGAATCCCTCCACTACCGCCCAGTATCACTTCTTCTACACTCCAAGTTTATGGAATCCGTAGTTGCCGATGCACTGGTGTGCTATCCGGAAAACTATAACATCAGCACGCCTGAGCAGCACGGTTTTCGTCGAGAGCAGTCCTTCACTACGAAGTTACCAATTGCACGCATTAGTTGGACCGAGGCAGCTGACGCTGGAGAAGGCGTTGATGGGACCCACCTGGATTTTCTAAGGCTTTCGATCGTCTAGACCATAGGATACTACTCTCCAAGCTCCATCATTACGGGATCGCCGACCCTCTTTTAAGCTGGATTGCCAACTTTCTACTACAACGGCAATGAATGGTCAGAGTTCGGAGCTCGTTATCGGACCC